ACTGCATCCCAATCCATCCATTTTCTTACCTCTTCCTCCAATTCAGGGTCACGGGGGAGCTGCAGCCTATCCCAGCAAGCAACAGCACAAGGCAGGATATCCGCTGCCTTGTCCATCATGGACGCCAGTCCATCACAGAGTTCACACGCACACTCATGCCAGGGCCAGTTTACCCAGAAGCCCACTAACCTACCAGCATGTCTTTGCACTGTGGGGGGAAACCACAGGAAACCCACGGGAGCACAGGGAGAACATGCAAACTCCACCCAGACAGGACTCCGTGGTCTGTGCCCCCCCGTGCACCACCCCTACTGTGTCCTCTCAACAGGACGTGTCCGGAAATGGAGCAATCCCAAACACCCGCTCAATCCGACCTGTCTCCTCTGGAGTGTTACATAGCCCCCCCCGCCAGGGAACTCCACCGACTTGGGCTCTGGAGAAGACACGTGGGAGAAAGAGGCGTGTGAGCACTCGAGCGCCCCCTGCTGGGAGAGCCCGGCACCACCTCCGTGCTGACGGGGAATTCCTCATTCTTTAGTTCTGGCTCCATGCTGTGTGTGGGGATTTGGGCATGGAGTGGGATCATCTATTTGCTGGTGGGCACTGCCCTGTGGGTCTGGAAGCTCCATTTGGACAAAAGGTAAATCCGTATAATTATTCCGTGCTGAAAAGAGAAGAAATAACACAACATTTTGGCTGTCAAGTCTTCTTCAGGTGGTTCCACAGCTGAAACGTTGTTTTTCTTTTCTTCTCTTTTCAGCAGGGAATAAACCTTTACTTGTTCCTCTGCAGCCTGCGCATGCTGATGCAGATACCTACTTACCTAGAAGAGGTGGAGTAATAAATCCCAGGGCGTTTCCCGAAAAGAGTAGGGGTGTTACCCCATTGTCGTGACCAAATTTCCCCCTGACCTTAACCCATCATGGCCTCCTAATAATCCCCCATCTCTGAACTGGCTTCATCACTCTGCTCTTCTCCACACTGAGAGCTGGTGTGTGGGGAGAGTACTGGTGCATCATCCAGGTGGGGCTGCACACTGGTGGTGGTGGAGGGGATCCCCATTACCTGTGAAGCGATTTGAGAGGAGTGCCCAGAAAAAGCGCTATATAAGTGTAAGCAATTAATTATTATTATTATTATTACTTGAACTAGTCATATAATTTATTCTACCACTTACAAAGATCCCTACAGGGAAAAGCATATTTCTGTACAGTTAGTGCACTGCTAGATTTCAGGTGTTTCTAAAAAAAATAAGAGATCCTTAAGACAATGCCAGACACATGATGGGATGGCAGTGGTGCCAATGCGCTTGACTGGGACCCAGGTGTAGCTGTGTGCTGTTTGCCCCAGCTGGGTGCAACACTGGCCGCAGGGCCAGGTCTCGCGAGCTGGCCTGAGAGACGGCAGCGATAAAACCTGCAGAGAGAGAGAGAAGAGCTGAACCAGAGCTCACAGCCACACACCCCCATAGGCAAAATTCCCGATTCTCCGCTTAGAACAGTTGTTTGTTACCATTAAAAGCAAAATAAAAAGAAAATGTTAAAAAAAAGTTCAGTTGTTTGTGTACGAGGAGAGGTGGAGAGGGGTTTAACTGATGAGGAAAACTGGAAGAGAAGAAGGCCTGGACTGTGTGCCAGTGCTACCGAACCCCTAGCCAAGGCAATTAAACACAGGTTGTGCGCAGAACGCCTTGTTATTTGTGTTGGCCAACAAGTCCGAAACAGCAGGCTTGGAAAAAAGTCCTCCTAGACAAGATATAGTGGAAGTCGGCTAACTAATATAGCAGCCCCGGTCTCCACGGACGACGTGATTTATGAAAGGGTTGCTCCTGCCTTTTTTTCCTGCGATATTTGTTTTGTTTTGTTTTGTTTTACCCCCCTGTCGCCTCTGACGAATTTAGCAGGCTGTCCGCTTTGCGCTGCGGTCGGACCCGGCGCGTCCTCCTCTAGATCGGGGGTCGCCGAGCCTAGGGGAGCTCTGCGGAGAGCCCCCTAGTTGATGAGCTCTCAGGGCCTGAAGAAGTCCGGCTACACCGACCCCCTTTCTTTCCCCGCCGTGCCTGCTGCTACCTCTCGCCCATCCTGCGGGAGTCCGGCCATGAGATTAGACACTGCCGTCAATCCACGAGAGCTGTATCGGGATTAAAAAAACAAAGGAGTACGCGCACCTGGACCTTGAAATATATATATATAGAGATTATATACATAGAAAGAAACGTTGGAACACAGCCGAGCCCCTGACAGCTTCGCTTTCCCAAATTTCTCTGCCAACGTCAACTGGAAACCTGGACTCGCCGCCGCTGACGTCATCTCTCCGAGCTGGGGCTGGAAGAGAGCGCTCCTCGCGAGCAGGCAGAGGCGCGGGGGCACTCGAGCAGAAAGCACGGGGCGCAACGCGGAAACTGACATCAGGCGTTACTGCAGTTCTAGCATTGTAGACGCCTCACATGTATTTTCCCTCACGCTTACCAACGTGAGGGGCGTCCTGGCGTGGGAATCCGTGTTTCTTCTCAGGCTGAGCTCCGTGGTTCGGTCATGCCTGAGAAAGTTCCTACATGAAGTTCCAGACAGTTCTGTAAAATACCGTTTACCGTATCAGCTTCAGAAAAATGACCGAGACTTTAACTGTTAAATTGTGCGAGGCAGAGTCCCGATGCTGGATGCTTGTAACGTGAAGGTGAAGCTAAAAACTAAACTAAACTAAACTAAAAACTATTTTTTTTCTTTTCCACGCATTCGGGACAGTAGATTCAATTTTTTTGCGCGTCAATTAAATCTGTACTGGAACAAACTCTCAGCGTATTTTTACCACATTTCTGCACAATGTCATGGAACAGCATGACGACCACAAGCTATGCAGCACGCTGTACACATCTGAGTAATTCGAAACCCCCAGAAAATCAGAAATTCATTAGCGGTACAAAAGGCTGCCGTGGTGATCGAATGTAGCCGTTGCATTAATCTGACAACAAGCACAGTCGTTTTAAATTAGTCCGAGGAATTTTGTTTGTTGTTTTCCCCTGTCGGCCTGTCGTTCCGACACCTTCAATGTCGCTTGGCTTTTGCGGCGGTACGTGTCAGCGAGGAAGACCAGCGGGAAAACGCGTACTCTATCGCAGGCGAGAGAGGGTAGTGTGACATTTCATAGCAGGCCAACAGGATCTGTAGCACAGGACTGCCATCTAGTGGAGAAAGGGAGAATTGTCACAAAAACCGTGTTAAACCTTCGCTTATAACGATAATTGATAATAATAATAATAATAATAATAATAATAATAATTGCTTACACTTATATAGCGCTTTTTCTGGACACTCCTCTCAAAGTGCTTTACAGGTAATGGGGACTCCCCTCCACCACCACCAGTGTGCAGCCCCACCTGGATAATGCGACGGCAGCCATAGTGCGCCAGAACGCTCCCCTTTTCAGAATGGCAAGGGCCACCATTTGTCTTGACCATCCCACACTGGAGGTGGAGGTGATGTGGTCAGCATCGCGCTCCGGCCGGCCTGTTTCCCCCAGCAGGATTAACCCCCCGTATTCACTTGGAAAGCCGAGTGGACCTGGGAGCCGTCTGGAAGGAATTCGAGCGATGAGAGCCGCTGGGATCCCTGGGATTGAACCTGGGACCATCCGGTCAGGAGCGAGACACCCTTGCCATCTGAGCTCCCACAGCTCTGAAGCCAGTTCAGTGATGGGGATGATTAGGAGGCCATGATTGGTAAGGGCCAATGGGAAATTTGGCCAGGATGCTGGGTTTACACCCCTACTCTTTTCGAGAAACGCCCTGGGATTTTTAATGACCACAGAGAGTCAGGACCTCGGTTTTACGTCTCATCCGTAGGACGGCGCCTGTTTACAGTATAATGTCCCTGTCACTATACTGGGGCATTAGGACCCACATGGACCGCAGGGTGAGCGCCCCCTGCTGGCCCCACTAACACCTCTTTCCAGCAGCCGCCTTAGTTTTTCCCAGGAGGTCTCCCATCCAGGTACTGGCCAGGCTCACGCCTGCTGAGCTCCAGTGGGGCTGCCAGTTGTGAGTTGCAGGGTGATATGGCTGCTGTACTTATATTATCAAAAGCTGTGAAATGACGCCAAACGTATTGCCTCTTACCCCTTGATCTTCTACAGAAGTAATCTTTCTCAGACTTGTGTACTGGGGACCAGCTCAAGTTCCTTCTTCCCTGAAGATCACTTAAGTCAAAACACGGCCCCTAGAAAGAATACATTTGGACTTAGGGATACAACAGGGCCTGGGCTGGAGAAAGTGGCTCTAAGGGAGACCAGAGCTGCAGGAAGGTTGGGCCTCTAATGGATTTGAACTGACCCGCAGGTGTAACTAACAAACACCAGCGCCGATCGGACATCGCCCAGCACCACGCCAGAGGTTTCAGACGTGCCTGTGGACGTGAGCAACCCGCAAGCGGCGGTTTCTGAGAAGCCGTCGTCTTCAAGCTTTGCCAGGCTCCATTAGTCTGACAGGCTTCGAGGTTCCAGCTTTAAACTAAATTCTGTTCACCGAGAGGCGTTAAAACACAAATACCTCGCTTATCTTATGCATTGTTCCTTAGGTGATTATCGGATCCTGACCTCTGGCCGTCTGAATGTCATAGGAACTTCTTACTGTAGACTACTGTGCATATTCAGTGTACAAATGAGGGTACATTTTTTATTTTTACTAACTATGCTGTTTTAGGAACATGCAAAACCCATCAGTTGCACGAAATGAGGAGAGTACAATTCTTACCTTTAAACTGATTTATTAATTTACAATACAAGCTGAAAGCAGACCATTTCATATTTTACATTTTTATTTAAGCACAAACTCTCAGCAGTGTCATCGACCGGCACTAATTCACATGTATGTCTGTTACCTACGGACGGCTGACGGCAGAGACGCGTCATTTTTTTAAAAAGTCTATTCCAGAAGAACTGTCCCAGCTGGCGACGCCTTATCTCGCCTTTCATACTAGGGACAGAGTCCAGTTCTTTATTTAAAAAAAAAAAGAATCAGCAATTTATTTTAGTAGTAAAATATACGAACAACGCTGATAAACGATAGAATTTCTATTTATAATTCTTTTAATATTAGTATTTCCAAGAGAAGAAAAAAAATGCATACACACCAAGGTAAAATTACGGATACTTTAGTGTCCAGACAGTACCCTTACGCATAAAGTCTGTAAAGGTGCGTCATACTGCAGTTCCTGTTCTGGGCTGACGTAGTATCATGCAAATCACACTGCCGCCACGCGGCTAAAGCGTCACCGCAGCCCCGCGCCGTGGAGCCGCTCTTCCGCCAGTGCGCGCTAGCCAGCCAGCACCGAATCCACGGAGGGTTTCGGCCACGTGACCTCAACGCCAACACCTCCTTATCAAGGTGCAGCCATTCTCTCCGCGCGCGGGGGCGTGGAGGGAGTTGCGTTAAAAAAAAAAAACACACACACACACACAAACACAGACGGATGCCAAGTTCCCATTTTCTTCTCCCAAACGCGGCCTGCGCCACTCTGCAGGCCGCGAACACCGCAGAGAGATGCGTGTGCCGGGCGTTAATACACCGGGCCTGCGGACCTTAGCAGCGCCGAGCGCCGGCACACCGACTCGTCGCGGTCAGTCGCACAACAGAGGGAGCTCCGGAGTCTGCGTACGAGGACGCAGCGGTAGGGCCCGCACGAGTGAGCTCACAGCTCCTCCCGGACTGGCGCCCCTCTCTCTCTTGCGGGTCAACCCCAGCGATCCCAGCGTTTCAGCTTTCAAGGCGGGCAGGATGATCACGAATACGTGACGTGGTCAATGCAAAACAAAACATTTGGGTAGGAAGAAACTCTCACCCTTTGAACACACCAGCAGGTGTTCAGTTCAAGGCCACAGACAGAAAAGTCTAAATCAGGGGGTCTCCATTCCTGATCCCAGAGAACCCCACTGCAGTAGGGCTGACAGGTCATCCTGAATCACCCACTTCTAAATACTGGGCACACTGGCACGTTACTGAGCAGTTAAGGAAATAGTTTTCAATTAAGGGAACACTGAAACAAACTGTCAGCCCTGAATAAAACAAACGATCTCTTAATTGCTCCATCATCACCCAGAATTGAGCATTAAATTGTGCCAGGTCTTAAAAATCTGATTTAATGGTGACCTATAAAATCTGCTGGATTACTCAAGCCCAGGCCTGGACACAGATTAGTTATAGGCCTTTTGCGTTTGGTGTTTATTTTGGAGAGGTAATTTCATTATTAATGTTCATGTTAATTTTAAACATTATCCTTGAAATTACTTTGCTCAATCCACCCCCACTGTATAACATAACGGGAGCTCTTGTCATGATTCATTTTGCTTAGCTACTTAAAAACAGCACTTGGCAAAACTGGAAACCGCAGCACAGAAACAAGTCCAATCTTGATCTTCATGGGTGACGGGTGACCAGGATTGGTGATCTAGCTGAGGCAAGCAGGCCTGGTCATCTTTGACACAGTCACAAGCTTTTGTTTTAAGGGATTAAAAGAAACTTGCACTAAACCGGGTGGCTTACGATTTCTAAATTGGGAAACAAAATGGGCTCAAGGTATTTTTAGAGATGGGGACAAACACCAGAAACAAGACCAGGGCTGTCAGATCCAGGCCCAGGAGGCCGAGTGGCGTCTACGCCTTTTATCTTTTTTTTATCACAGGCCTGCACAACCTCATGCAGCTCATTGCACATCAGTGTCCAAGATGAACAAATCTAATTTCCTTCAGCTGCCCAAGCGCTGCTCCTTCAGAGAGACTCCAGCCCTACAGGACTAGGACTGAACCCCCCTGTGATCGACTAAGGGCCCTGTAGAACAAGGGTCCCTACCCCTAGTTCTGGGGACCCCACAACTGCTTCATCCTTAATCGAAGAAACATACTGCTTGCCTGGAACGTCTACAAGATTTTTTGTAACCAAAAATTGGCATCTCAAGATACTTCTGTAACTTTTTTTTTTTAGAAGGCAAAAATCACGTGGGTCTAGGCAAACAAAACAGTTCCAAGTAAACCTCCTAAGCCTGTTAAGGCTTTAATTAGTTAACTTGATCATTGGAAGCTGATCTGGCAGGAGGGTGGGGGGTGTCACGAACAGGACTGGGAAACCGAGCTAGCAGCCCCTCTCGGTTTCCAAGGCTCAGAAGACGACACCGGTAGACCGCCATTACAAGAAAGCCTGCATTCAAGATTGTACACTGAACAGCATAATTGAAGGATTAACGCTGGCGAAATTCAAGATGGAAGATAAAAAAAAAACACTGCAGCAGCTAAAACGTAGGAGAGAGAGAGAACCAGCGAGATTAAGGGTGTCCGGTTCTCTGCTCCTGCCCTTGGGACAGACACACCCTGGGAAGCAAACATTTTTTTCCCCCCATTAAGAAAGACAATCTCTTCTTCGGCATTTTGTAACACTGCCCCCAGACTGGCTATTTCAAATTTTGAAAAAAGGCCCCTCGCCCGACACCGTGACACCAGCGAAAGGCTGAACTGGGTTCCCAGCGCCTGGCCGGAGAGGATCTGCGTTTAGTAACGCGCACGTGTCTCACGGCAGGCCAAGCTGTCCGGCCAGTCCTCGAGACCCGATCCCCAAGCCCTTCCCTGCTCCAGGGCAGGTGCAGCCCAGCGCCGGGCAGACAGCTGTGGGGGGGGGGTGCGTTCCGCACCCCTGGGACGACATCGCTCGCTTGGCGGCACGGCCGCTCCTCCTGCAGGAGCTCCGGGAGGCAGATCCGAACCCGTCTCCCGGGTGCACAGGAGTCTCCAAGGGTTTACTGAAGCCGTGTTGAGGGAAATAACCTCTCTGCGCACCTACGCCTTTTAAACAAGCCAAGCAAAAGTCCCAATCCGTAGAGCGGGCAGGCCTCACCCGGCCTGCAGCGCAGGACAGGAGGCAGGGGGCCGGCGGGCAACAGGAAAGGGGGAGCCGAGGAGGGAAGAGGCACTGGATTCACAGCGCCGACGGGACACGGCGGGCAGCCCCGGGGACGAGGCCTGGCGTTGCGACCCAAACCCGCGGGGGGTTTGTCCTCATCTTCCCCGCCCGCCGGGCGAAGCCCTCGCCTCCAGGGCGTCGGTGTGCTGCACGAAAGCCCACCCCCGGCTTTCCCAGGATGCACCGGGACACGTACTGGCCATTACAGGTGCGGTCCAGCCCGCTGCCAGGAGGCGGGGTTCGCTTGTGGCTCACCCGCCCCTCCCGGACAAAAAAAAAAAAGGCGTTCCCAGGAATAAAGAAACGGGGAAGCTGTTAAAATGATGAGCCACCCCTACTGTCGCTCATCGAGGCATCTCTCCTCCCGTCAAAACCACGGAGATCCTCATTCGGAGTAGGAGAAGGTGTAGCTGTGTGTGTCCACACTCGACCCCAACAGTCACAACAAAGCAAATACAATAAAAGAAGGTAAGGCAGAATCCGGAATACTCTGGTGTCGGGGGAACACCAGCGCGGAAGCGGATCTCTAGTCCAGCGTTCCTGGTGGGGGGACAAACAGTGGCACATGGCTCGGCTGCTCAGGCCACGTCGGACAGGGCCCTGCCGGATCACAGGCAGGCAGCCCCCTGCCTCCTCCGAGGGCACCCGGTCAGCGAGCCACTGCGTTTCTCCCCGGCCTCACGCCAGAAGAGCAGGGCCAAGCGGCGGTGGAGCAGGGTACGGGCTCCTTCAGGATTTGTGTTGGCAAACGCGGAAATCCTTTCGGGATTTGAGGCGGCCTTCGTCTTCGTTATCGTCCAGTATGGCGACGAGTGGGTGGGAGTGATGGAGGGGGTGTGGGTTTAGTCAGCCAGATCTTCACTTCCAGCCCTCAGGTTGCAGGAGGTGGACAAACGGGGGGCAAAGGACAGGAGGGGCTGGGAGTGAGGAAAGGGCAGGTGGGGGAGGGGTTCACAGAAGCAGACAGCAGCTGCTCTCTGTAGTTTTCTCCCGGTTCCTCTGACCTGGGGAAGAGGAGAGGAAAGAAGCAGACATTGGACTGCATGTCTGGAAACAGCTACGGCACTGTGCCCACCTGAGTCGCCCTGTCGACAGCGAGCAGAGTTTGAGCTTGACTGGATTATTTTCACTCTGAGATGCCTCCCCCGACTCTAGTCTGGTTTCTACACTTCCTGTGGTGACAAAACCCAACACCAGGGTTACTGCAGTGTTACTACTGCAGAATCTGGTGTCTGCAAACCTGCGCCGCCATATCCCAAAAGTCAGGAGGCTGCGCACAGGAGGGAGATCAAGTACAAGTAACTTTACTCACAGACACAGGTATGACATTTTATATTTTTAGGCGTTTCATTACCTTCGCAACGTGTATAAACTGTACCTACCAATCGCTCGGTTATATTGCTAAACAGCATGACCTCACCTAGTGAACACCCAGCTGAGGGACTGAACAGCTGGTTTTGTCCTGAACATGACCCTCCCCAGTACATCCAGTACTGCAAATCCTTGGTATATTTAGAACCAGCTCCCACAGCTGGTACATTTTCTCCCGTCAACCCCCTGCAGAAGAGTTCGCATCAGCTCTTGTTTCAAATCACTTGGCTAAGCTACTCCAGAAAGTGCTTTGCTGGTGCGTGCCCCGTTCTGTGCTTAGTGCTGGTTAAAAATGCATATCTCGCTGCCCCAGTTATTCATGATCGTGCGCCGCTGCCCTGCATGTCCGAAGGGCTGCAGCCCACGCTGGATGCCGAGATCGGACCCGGAGGGGGGCTGCCAGCTGGCTCACCGTGGGAGTTCGGCTCAGGTAGGGTCTCCCGGGCAACCAGGTGCATCACCGTCGTTCTGCCGGGGGGGAGCTTCAGAGCTGGAGGGGAGGGAGAATTTTAATACAGAAACAGAAGAGCAGAGCCACCGGAGATGCCCGCCGCCGCCTCACCCCAGTGAGAACATGAGAACAGGAGGGAAAAGTGGCGGCGTAGCATTGGAGAGAAACAAGAAGGAAGAAGGAGCTGCAATTAATGCAACAGGAACATGGAGGGGGGGCGAGAGGAAGAGACGGGTGACATGAGGCGGGGGTGGGCTGCAGCGGTGCCGCGTCAAAGCCGGAACTCCAGGTTTCAGTCCAGAAGGACTTGGAACGCAGCAGCCTGGAGCCCTGAGGCAGTAGCGTGACCCACTGCCGCCGCCACCACCACCCGCCGCCCCCGGGGTGAAGAGGAGAGGCGAGCGGCACAGGAAGGGACAGCCGGGGGGGTCCTCACCTCCCAGCGTGACGTTGCCGTGCAGGAAGCGGCCCTGGAAGATGAGCCGCAGGATGCCGGGGCTGCTGACCTGCTCCTCCTCCCAGTCTGCAACAGGACAGGACAGGACAGTCAGCACCGGCAGGGAGAGGCCTGCCCCAGCCACACAAACACTGGGAACAAGGGGGCCTCGTCTGCCAGCATCACAAAATCATGGCTTTCACCTGCATAGGGCCGACCAACCAGTAACCTGCCCCTTTACGGAGATTTTATTGGATGTCTTCGGCCTTAGAGCAGGAAGGAGTTTTTTTTAGCATGCCCACTGGATGGAACCAAGTTTATTCTATTCCAGCAACACACACACAAAGAGAATGGCTCTCTGACCACATCCTCTCCATAATGGAGAGGACACTGGCCCTTCCAGTCAGTAAAACAGGAGGACTTCCATGCATTCGGACCCTCAGTTGCTTAGTTGCTGCCACTGCCTCACAGCCCGGCGGTCTCGGCGCCTCGCCGCCCAGCTCGGACCCGCGCCCGCGCCCAGCCGCTCACCCATGGGCCAGTGGTCGTAGACGTGCTTGGCGATGTCAGTGGCCGAGTCGTTGGGGGAGAAGCTGAAGTCCTTGGTCTTCCCGCTCACCAGGATCAGACGGAGGTTCACCTGGGAGGGGGGGAGAGACCCGAGCCGTTAGTTCAGGAATAACACTTATCGACTTTCCTACCTCCACAAGACCAACGAGGCGGCTCGAGAGGTATAACCGTGCCCCGCCAGGCATCCCCTACCATTTCACAAGTCGCTCACAGGAAAACAAGGACAGTACTCTCGGAGGAGTCCGAGTTTCTGACCCTAGGTCGGTGCTCTTCAGATCATTACAACTTCAGATTAAAAGGATGGCTATTTATTACAATACCTTGGGGAAAAAAAATGTTTGAAAGTACAAAGCCTATTTGGAAACACGGCCTCCTAATAATCCCCATCTCTGAACTGGCTTCATCACTCTGCTCTCCTCCCCACTGAGAGCAGGTGTCACATCATCCAGGTGGGGCTGCACACTGGTGGTGGTGGTGGAAATCCCCATTACATGTAAAGCGCTTTGAGTGGATTGTCCAGAAAAAGCACTGTACATCGTAATATAATAATAATTCCTTACATTCAGTTGCTATTGTTAAAAAAAAGTATACAGTAATACTGTTGGCTCCAACACTCTTTTGAGGGCACTTAAAAAGAGATCAGGCCCTAGCCCATGTCACTGGCATGAACCACGAAACCTGGGTTTGAGTGTACTTCAATTTAGCCCTTTTCTATTAAAAAAAAAATGGTTTCCCAGCCAGCCAGTCTCATTGGCATGTGAAGACAAGCGAGCTCTTATTTTGGCTCTCCTCCTCCTGCGCGGGGAGAGCTCTGAACAGTCCACACACTGTCCGCGCTGCTGGGACCGTCCCAGGTGTTCCCGCCGGCTCGGGCCGGGGTGGGGGAGGGGATTCCATTTTCATGGCTACAACATCGGCCGGGGGGGGGGGGGGTCAGGCCTGGTCCTTCGTGCCGTCGTGTACCAGAGGAAACGGGAGCGTCGCCCTAACCCGCCCTGCCCCCACTCCGAGCAGAAACACCACCCCCACGGCCTCTCGGCCAGAGATGTCAAGTTGAAGACGCAGCTGAACTCGCGTGAACAATGTGAACAGTCGAGGGTCTTGCCTTGTTGCACCAGTTGCAGGGGGAAAGCAGAGAGGTGCTGTGCAGAGCTGGGAAACAGCCATTCCCTTGCTCCAGCCTTGACCTACAAACATTTTCCCCAGCGGGGCGTCTCAAAGGGCCCAATACATTATGACCTACAAACCGGACTGTGCAATATGTGGCCATAAGGAAGGGATCTCTCCAAGCAAGATGAGCAACCCTCTGCACTGCACTTCAGAGTCTTCATCAAACCGCCAAGGTGTCAAAGTCCTCAAAGCCCACAAACGAGCCGGACCGCCCATCATCGCTCACAGCACAAGCTTTCACAGCGGTGTCGCGATCGATCGCATCGCTTTCCGAGCGGCCAGGACACAGTCGCGCCAGCCTCCGCCTGGGAGAGTTCCCAAAACAACTGGGATCGTGAATGCGGCTGACGGGGGAGCTTTTAACCAAGACCCCCGCGTGGGGCCGTCTCGCATCTGCCCAGCTGACGTCGAGAAACGAGAGCAGATCTCGACCAAACGAAAAGGTGGATGAAATGAGCGAATGTTTTGTTTCCAAAATTATCACATTGTGTGGGAATAATTAGGACTTCTCTAGTAAAACAGTTATGATCCTCCCTTTGGGTGCAAATAAGGACATTACTAATTCCAGCCCAAGGAGAAGCTCCCCCTCCCTAGTATCTGTCCACACTCCATCTAGCTATCCTTCCCAGAATGCCCTTCACTGCAGATGTCAAGGGCAGCACGGAGAACACCACGGACTGTCCCGAACCACAGCAAGATCAGCGGTTCTGTTCCTCTGCACACCTCCTGGCCGACAGGCTTCTCCGACTGCAGAGAGGCAGAGCTGAACACTGGACCACAGACCTGAAAGGACCTTCTATTTTTTCTGCCAACATAAACGCACCACCAGCCAGCGCGCGGCCCTGTACGACAGCACACCCATTTCCTGCCCGCTAGAGGTTATGTCTGGGGTTTTCCCCAGTGTCAAAATGAGCTTGTAAAGACTGAGGCAAACTGTACGTTCGTGGCCCAGGCCTTCTTGACAACCTCACACCGCCTTTTCGATGAAATGCACAAGATTTGCTTCAACCTGCAAAAGCCACAGGCCTGCTTGCTCTGCAAAGCCCTTTTTTTTTATTGCAAGCTTCTGCTAAGCCAGCACCCGTCATTAATTCCCGTATGAATGTTACATTTAAAACAGAACGAAATACCACTGTCTAGCCAAGACTAGTATTAGTGCACTAAAAATAACTTAAGTACAGCAACAACAACACTTCATTTATTCTTTTAGCTCATAAGCCTCTCCTTGACTAACAAGACCTCTCTGAAGGCTCTGTGCTCTGCAGGCCTCAGTAACCTCAGTTCCTGACTTTTTTTTAAGGAATCATGGGGGCAAACCCGATGCACGGCAATGGTGATCCTTTCGTTTCCGTGAGCCCAAAGGAAGACCAGTGCAGCGCTCCAGGGGCAAGATCATGGCAACAGGACAGCAACGGAAAGGCTGTCTGTCAGACCTGCCCAACTAGTTCAGGGAAAAGGATAAGACCGCAACTGTAAAAGACAACACCTGCCGTGCAACAGGCGCAGCTGCACTGCACAAGGCAAGCAGATTCTCTTAAATGTAAGGAAAATAAGAATGTACAGTATGTACTGTTAAAACACGTGAGGAGGGGGAGGAAAACACGAGCTACACGATCCAACTGACGCAGGACAAACAACTTTTACTTCAACCCTCCCTGGCCCGGCAGGACGATGAAGTCATGTCAAAATGACACGAGACGGCAGAATGAGGGTGGACACTGGCCAGGGCTCGACTCCCCAAGAGCTGGGTGGGAACCGTGCGCCACTGAGATAGTACTGAATCCTGGCCTCCTTCAAGCTGCAAACTCTGCAAAGCTCTCCTTTGCAAAAACAAAAACCTGCTTTGTGGTGAAACTTAAAGTCTCAGTTTTTTCCCCCCCATTAAACTCTTGAGCCAATGTAGCTGTATCATTGTTCTACACATCTCACTCATCAACCTTGAAAAATGTATACAACTGATGACTTTGTGACTTAAAAGAGCACATGCATACCTTGTTAAAGACATAACTCTCTGCTCGACGATCAAAACGAGGAAACGGAGAAGGAGTGGGGGGCCGCGCCACCGCCCCACTTCACTCGCTGTGGTTTCATTTCTCCCCCCCGTTACCTTTAAGGGTTCAGGACTTCCTCACAAAAGCAAAAAAAAAAATGGCCAGCATTTACAGGCCTTGGGCTTTCAGAAGCTTCCCTTGCTGGGAGAAGGTAAGACTCCCAACACAATGGAGCTCAGCAGTCGAACATATACAGTACACTGCCTAGCGAGAAGCTACAAAGCTTACGCCTGGTAAACGGGTTTCTCTCATCTGTACATCTTCAACTATCCTTTTTGTATCCAGGTGCATTTTCTCCCACATAAGTCTAAGCCCGAGACCCCTGGAGTCCAAGAAGAGTTTAAATCAACAGACCACGGTGCTTCACGAAAAGCTACAACCAGCATCACAGAGCCGGGGCGAAAGGTTCAAGGCCAGGAACGCATCCGAAGGATCTCCTTTGTGAAAGCATGGCTCCAAGCTCCTGAACAGCACCCTCTTCCTACACTGCTGGGATACTTATTATAATAATAATTGCTTACACTTATATAGAGCTTTTCTGGACACTCCACTCCAAGCACTCAATACTCATACGTTGCTCTATATAATTAACACCTGCCACTTGAGAAATGTTTCATACAGATGTATTCAATGGCTCGCGGTCTCCAAAACAGAAGATGTTCATAGACACAGCGCTCTCCCGCGTCAGCAGTTAGGAGAGACCCCCCCACAATGACCGATATGTCCGAATCAGACTGGAGGATCCTGGTTTACCAGTAACACTTTCCTCCACACGATGGTCCCTCACTCACATTCGAGATGCACAGCCACCGTGGCAGCTGATCCTACTGCCCTCTCCAAGCGTTTCCCATTTTCCCCAATACTGATCCGAGGAGGAGCTGGGGCCTGAGCCAGCAAGAACCGGCATTAGGCAGGCTACACCTGGACAGGCAACCCCACATCAGGGCCAGTTTACCCAGGAGCCAGTTACCCTACCGGCACGTCTGTGGACCCTGGGAGGAAACCCACACGAACACATACAGAACATACAAACTCCACACAGACTGCACTCCAGGTCTGGAACTGAACCCAGGAGCCCAGCACCACAAGGCCACAACGACAACCACCACGACTTGGACTTCCTCAAAAGACAACAGCAAAATAGAAGACTAAGCTGGATACGGGGGGGGGGGGGCTGAATTTGAGCCCTCTCATTCCTGGGTGAGAACTCATCGTTTTCCCTCCCCCACCAGCAATCACCCCTCACATAAACATCAGATCACAGAGCCCCTGGTGAGACCGCTGTAAAACACAAGACGTTGCTCTTGTTCTCGGTTCCAAGTCAACTCCAGCCACCAGAAAGACAAGAGAAATGGACATCTGCAATGGGCATGCCAGCTGCGACAGAAGTTAATGGCTGCTTTGCACTGCTTGCGAAATGCAAGACTGGCTATTACCCCTGCAAAACAAAAAAAGACTCATCCAGGGGCAGTTATTTCAGAAGACCGGACTGTCCAGGATGCCTTCTTCACCCACCTAATGACACACTCTGCCTCTCCATGGGAGAAACGGCGACTTGACCTCTGTCCTCCCGGAGAGTTATTTCATTTCAAAGTGCCACCTGACTCCATTAAAGCCGATGAGATTTGGGGTGGGCGCGGGGTGAGATTCAGGATTCGGGGCAGTCGCTCCGAAGCAAGACGTGACAGATGGTAACCCCGGCAACGGAGAGGGGTCTTTCGTTTTTAAGTAGCTCTACGCAGGATACATGTGAACCCCGGAACGCCAGGCTCCCGGAACCGACAAACACAAAACGCCCAGCGAAGGGACTCACCGTCTCCTGGTCTCGATGAGAAGTCATGTCGGCGTCACCGGGTCCCGTCGCTGGCCTTCACAAAGACACTGTGGGTCGGAGCAGGAAGCGAGTTCAACCTCCCCCCCCCGAGCCGATACAAAGGCAATGTTTATGCGTTTCTCTTCCGCCTCCCTCCCCCCCCCCGTCTCACCCACGCGTTACACAGCCTGGCACAGGCGCGACCGGCTCGTGTAAATGCGCTTTCAGGGCTACGGTAGTACTACTACTTCACGAGTCCAGGGGGGCTAGCGGCCTGTTGTCAGACCGCCTACAAACCAACACACGCAACACCAACAAGCGCCATTAACAACAGCGGCTCACAGAACTGCCACGAACGGCGTGCATCTGTGCACCGAGGGGCTGTTTACCGACGGGATAAACTCTTCTCACATCCTCCTCAACTCGCTGTGTTTTTAGGAGCTCCTCCAAGATCCAGCGGCGCCGCCAGTATTCAGGACAATCAATATTTTACACGTCGTCATGTAACAATATATTCCACACACACACACAGCCGTTCTTCATCCAGGCGTGAGATAAATTCCGAGATTTATCAAAAAAGGCCTGTAGACGGACGCACTAGAAAGCTGGAAGTTCCTGATTTATCAGAAAGGGCTATGAAGAGGTCATCCCCCCACTCACTCTTTAAACAGAAGGCTCCGACGGTCGTTTAAAACCAGTGGCCGGTTTGATAAACCCGTGTCCGTTCTGAGCGGGTGACGGACAGTCCTGAGTCCAGCAGCATTTTAGAGCAGCAAAGAGGAACCGCAACGAAAACAGAAGACACACGCAAAACAAAAAAACAAACAGATTTCGCAATATCGAACAAACTACATCGAAGCGCCGCTCAAGCAGCTGCCGACCTCTCTTTCGATTCTAAAAATATCTAAACCGGAATAAAGATGTCCTTTTCCATCTATATTTTCGCCGTCTGGACCGCTCCGATCCGCCAGAAAACACAAGCAGCCCGGACGGACTGACTTAATGGCAGTCGATTTAAAGACACCGGAAGTCAGCTGGCCTCTCCACTCAGGAAACGCAACCCAGACGAGCATCATGGGATTTGTATTTTTCATAGATTGCTTCCTGTTTCACAACTGCAGTATTTTAATTCGGCTGAAGTTCGAAAGCACGTTTATCTCAACGCCGCAATAATAATAAGTTATAATATTTTGTTAAACATCCTGTGCCACCAGCATTAAAACTATTTAGTAGTTAGTAGTATTTTGTTAGATACTAATATGAACATATAAGATCACTCAAATATCCCCTACACAAAAGAGCATGTTGTGTAGGGGATATAATATACTATTTTCTCATTGACACCTAAATATATATTCTGTCTATCCTAAATATATATATAAGTCTACATTCAAAATCCTGGTCAACACCAAAATTCTGTTTTTCAAGCACCAAACACTACTCTACTGAAGCTTCAGCATAGTGACGGAAAGATCAAATAAACTTAATTTACCAAAATGCAGCGCAAAACACTTCCTGGCTAATCCACGCCTCCTCATTCGCGATGTTTTTCGTTTTGGGGTCAGTTTGCCCAACCCCCTTCACAACGGAAGATTAAAAAGACACGCCGTTCTGTGCGTGACGTCGTGACCACTGTGGATTCGTGAGCAACACGGGAAGCTCTAGTAGGGAACGTGGTGTTACAATCTGTCTGTTGTGTAATATTTCCAAGGCGACTCATCCAGGTTGTGCAAACCTCCTTTCAATACCTCCCGATGTTAACCTACATAGCTTCTTAAAATGAACACATCCGGTGTATATAATCATCAGCCAGCACCTATATCACTCTGCAACTCACAGCTGGCAAGTGTAGCAGGTCTGAGTCTGGCAAGTACCTGGATGGGAGACTCCTGGGAAAACTAAGGTTGCTGCTGGAAGAGAAGAGCACCAGTAGGGGGTGCTCACCCTGCAGTGTGTGTTGGTCCTAATGCCCCAGAAAGTGACAGGGACACTATACTGTAAAAAAAAAAACCCATTGTCCTTTGGATGAGGTGTAAAACTTGAGTTCCTGACTCTCTGTGGTCATTAAAATTCCCAGGGAATTCCTCAAAAAGAGTAGATTGTCCTGGCCAAAATTCTCCCTGGCTTTTACCAATCATGGTCTAACAATTCCCATCTCTGAATTGGCTTCATGACTCGGTTCTCCTCCCCATCGTTAGCTGGTGTGTGGTGAGCATACTGGTGTACGGTGGCTGCCATCCCATTATCCAGGTGGGGGCTGCACATTTGTGGTGGTAGAGGAGAGTCCCCATTACCTCTTAAGTGCTTGTGTCCAGGAAGCACTACATAAATATGAGGAATTATTAATAGCATAGTAAAATTTCATTCAAGCACTATTTTCTATGTTACTCTAATGTACATGTTCCTTTAGATGCATTAAAGGGCACTTTTTTAATCTAAAAAAGTTTAATCTTAAAACCAGATTATGAATCGATAGTCTGTTACCATCTCATGCAATCTTAATAAATTTTGATAAACTACATCCCAAACTAATCTGAAAAGTTGTTCCTACCATGGAGGTTACAGAGGAGAAAAAAAAATCATCACATCTTTAATTTAAAACAGAGCAAGTTTATTTTAAAAAAATTAAACACTCCTACAAAACAATACAGAAATATATACAGGTATTAATGCAAAATAAAAATTAGTAACAATATGGGGCAAATACAGAAGGCTTCATTTACATCACCAGCTGCCAAACTCAGTCTGCTGAGTTTCAAGAATCTTCAAGGAAAGGAAGAACAGTACAGAACACTACCCTGAATTCCTTCTGTGCATCAGTGAATCTTGTGTTGTTGCAGGTACATTACTTTTAAATACATATACTTTATATACAGCAGCTTTCTTAGATCAGGTGAAGAAAGAGAACCACTTCAGCTTAATTCAGAGGGAAAGGCCAGACTGTGCAGGCCAGGATAAACACTCTCTTACAAGCAGAGCCACAGGACAATTAACTAAGAAATCAGTGACCTCAGTTTAATGTCTCATCCAAATGACATCTGCTGTGGCATTAAGGCTCCCGTCACCATACAGGGGCATTTGTTTGAAAATTCTGGTCCAGAGGGAAAAGCACAACCAACTGGTCTGGTTTTCTATGGAGGTCACCCATACCAGTATGGATCTGGCTAAGCCTTCCTTTGCTTCTCAGCTCAGGTTAACTGAATGCAGAGTTCGATGTCAAATGGCTCACTTCAATGCAGAAAAGCATTTTCCCCCCCCCAATGACGAATTAGCCACTACCAATTCCATTAATCTTTTTTAAAATGCCAACCAGACCTCCAACAAGTGCATTAAATTAAATGAACACAGGGATTTTAATGACAGAAACATACATTTTATACAAAAATATACTATTTACAAAAATAGATTAGGAAAAGAAAGGTTCAGTTCCCCACACAAACAAGCACATTGCTTAGTGCGAAAGTCAGAACCCACAAGAGGGTCAGAACAGCACACTTGAACGGGACAGAAATACAATGGGGATGTACTTCAGCTGTACTTGGGAGTTTACATTTCAACATATAAATACCCTTTTATTACAGGCCTTTTCATCAACTAAAACCATTTGGTCTCAAAATACTGGAATTGCAAAAATAGATGTCACATTTGAGTTATTCATCACCTTTATCATACCCAACAGTTAAAGAGCTGATATGCAAGAACACTAACAGCAGAAAGTACAAAAGGGGAACAGAGGATAAAGCTACTAAAAGCCACTGAACAATGTCTTCCCGTTTAGAGACAACATCATGATTCAGGTTTCCGAAGGACAGCTGGTGTTCATATATTTTTTGTTGAAAGCCCCCAGAATTCTTGAGGGATGTGTGGAATACTTTGTAGTTCCAAAGTAGGGCTGCCTTAATCACTTTAAATAGTTCCTCTTTCACAGTCAATGTGATGGGAACAATGCACTATAACCCATAGGTCTCTCGACACTACACACATTGACACCTTCCCTGTTCAGGGAAGGGACCATAACAGAACTGCAGTTTGTACATCACAAAAATGCAGAAATGGAAATCGTGACCTTTTCTCAAAAGGTCAAGAACATTAGGCCTTCACCTCACATTTTCTGAAAAGTTTGGAAAATAGCAGGACCCACAGGCCAAAACACATATAGAATATTATACACAGGCTGTGGTTTCAATGGAAACTAGAGTGCTATTCGTGAACAGACTATACACAAGTGCCCATCAATTACAAACTGTTAATCAGGAATGGCGATTGACAAAGCTCAGGGCCTCCCCCAAGGAGATGGCTCCGAGGACCAGTTGGGGTTTGCCTTGGTGGAGATAAAAAAATGACCTTGCTGTAATAAAAATACAGCCATCTCTTGCCACCACATCTGATGCAACAGGCCAATCTGAGGAACACGCGATTACTCGCCGTGCCAAGGTAAGAGGCCCTTTTTCAGCTAATCAAGTTTAATGTACATTTTGCCATACTATACACACATGAAATTATTAAGTTAATTTAAAGAGAGATTATACAAATAAGATTTGCATCCGAAGCTATATACAATGAAGACAACCTTACTAAACTTCAATAGCTCAATAAACATATTTACAACGTGAACAATGTAAGCACATTAATCCTCCCACTCGGATCCTGCCAACTTCCAATAAGAAACAGATGAAATTCGTTTCACTTGTCATATACATTCATTTTAAGTGATCCATCTATTCATATTAAGTGCATTGGGTGTTATTCAGAACTGGAATATCTAAATTCTTTTTATCTGGTAAGTCAAAACCTAACCTCTTATCTGCAGTTCGCAGACTGCACCTGTGCTTTGACTCCTGCTCCAGTTGTGCCAACATTAGAGAGACACTTTAATACTGCCAAATAACAGCACAGACCTGTTTGGTCAGATTTCTCCTCATGTAAACATACACATAAGTACATATGTATCTTAAAAATATACATGTATATATATTTACATACATAAGGAAAAATAGTTAATCTTTTTTGGATACCTATCCAAATTTTGAAACACTCCCAAACATGGATTGTCAAGCCATAAACGTTACCAGAAAGATGGAAAAACCTTGAGACTTTTGGATGTTTTGACCAGGAATTCTGGGTTGTCACACTGTAAAAGTCTGTATATGTGAGGGAATGACAAGGAGACAGAATAGACAGTCAGACACATCTGTTTTGTAATGATCCCTGTCCTTTAGGAGACACTGTTGCTCCTGGGTTTCAGCTCAGATTACAGCTGCTTTTTTCTGAAGTGCATTGTCTCCACCTTGCACTGACACAGAACCAAAGCAGGTTTTCGGCACAATCTTTTCCCCTACTCTAAATTCCCCTTGTGGAGATAATAAAATGCAGACTAGATTCACACACAGATAAGATGCACACTGATGCTATACATGCAGCTAGGACATGGAGCTGACAGCCTCTTTTCCATTGCCCGGGGGCTTATAAGGCTGCCAAAACAAAACCGGGTGGTTTAAAGAGGGCCTTAAAAAAGGAGATGCTGGCTTATGACAAACTCAGAGATACAGCAGTGCTTTCAGCTTTCAGAGGCTGTCTGCTAATATTCCATTTATTTTTGTAGTGAAGCCAGACACCTCCACCCTTCTTCTTTGCGTTCAGCTCCAGCTAGCATACTGAATGTCCAAAAAGCCACAACAATCTCTTTTGCCAGTTCCTTCAAATCTGCCGACCTGCACAGAGGTTACTTACTTTCTATTTCCCAAAACATCAGCTTTGTGCAAAACTGCCAATACTGCAGTGGCTTTGTGTACACACACATGCGTGTATTTTTAAATTAATGAGTTATGTAACACAAGCTACTGTTTGTGAAACAGCCCACCCAGGTCTTAAAACCTCCTAGCAATTCACACACAAATAAATAACTCAATATATACATCAAATACACCGTGCAAATAAATATTACAGAAGACAAACAGTAGGGGATTTGGGGTTGTACTAGCAGTCTTATTCAAGCTAATGGATGTTGTGACTGTCTGGTTCAATGGGATACAGGGGACTCCTTCCCTCCCCCCTCCTCTTTCAGGCAACTGACCCCTCCAGCTCAGAGTCCTCACCCCGGTAGATGGGGGTTTTGGCTCGGAGAGCAGACTCGTATTTCTTGGTGGACATTTTCTGGGCTTCTGTGCTGTTCCAGATACCGTAGGCAAAATAAATAACAAACCCTGCAGGAGAGAGAGAGAGGTTGAGGATACGAGTGCAAAAAAATAAACATACAATCACCACTACTAAAATGAGAACGGAAAAAGATGAGGATAATGTACGTTTCACCATCCATCAGTTAATTAAATTGTCTGCCAGTGCTTCAGGTGCCTGGCTAATTACATCTTAAAGGATCATGTGTTGACATCTTTCACTAACAAGACTACACTAAGTGATTCAGTTAATAACACTGTATGCATTGTGGGGCAGCCCCAGAGGACTCATTTACTGCCTTAAACAACAGAATCTATTAGTGCCATCACCACTGCCAGGCCAACAGGGACCTCTGCAGCACTGAAACCACTAATCTGATAACTCAATCACACAGCAAGTGACTAGGCTCAGAGGAACCTGACCTCCTTTCCAACAGTTTATAAAGACAAGCTGTATAGCGCTTTGAAAAGCACTGAGCTCTAGACCACACCTGCTCCAGATCATTGGTTTGGGTATGTAGCTTATTGAACAAACAGATATTGGGATATTTTACATATTATCAGCATCACAGTGTAGTTTTTATTTGTGAATTTAACTCCAAGAACAGGGAAAAAAACAAACAAACTCACCTATAGCCATCCAGACAGCAAAACGCACCCAGGTACCCATATCCAGTTGCATCATGAGGTAGACATTTACAAAAATGCTGAGTAGTGGGAGCAGGGGCAGGAAAGGTACCTGTGAACAGAGTCAGTGTGAGAGTGCTTCAGCATACAAATTACAATACAATAATACATTACAGAATACTGTATTTGCAGTGTAATGTTGTACATTTGCAGAGAGCACAGACAGAATAGATCTCCCCTTCCCCTTTACCTTGAACGTGAGCGACTCCTTGCTCTCTGGCTGCCTCCAGATGATGACTGTGCAGGCAACAGATAGGAGAAACAAGACCATGCACAGTGCTACCCACAGTGGCTCCATGGCCATCACAGCTGAGCCCTTCACTGACAGAATACAGCAGAGCACAGTGAACAATGTACCTGCAGAGAGAGGCAGACAGAGAGAGGCTTAATTCCAAGACTGATCTACACAGACAGAAGAAGCCACAACACACCATGAATCTGTGTAGTGAGAAACTGCAGAGAAGTCTAAAAGTGCGATACGGGCAGAATCGCCACATGCATGCAGTGCAGGAGTGAGCTGGAGGGCAGCTTACAGATGATGGCAGTGGTGACATAGACGATGGTGCCCGACGTCTTGGTTGGCAAGTCACAGTTGGGCACCAACAGCAGCCTCATGGTGAACTTCTCCTTCAGTGGCACCGTCTCGGTGGCAAATTCGTCAGCGCTGTCCACTTCAGTCATGGCTGTCTTCTCCCCAGACACATCCACCATCTTCTCACTGTATCTTGGTGTGCTCAGGGTGCCCGGCTGGTACCTGCACAGAAGGCAGTAGAGAGGCATGAGGTGCAATTATTCTAACCATCTCCGAGTTTGTGCTGCCTAGAGGTCAAGGTAAAAAACGTGCCCTTGTTTACTTTTTCTGTAGATTAGCATTGAATGTGTACATTTCAAAACACCCCATCTTTCTTATATTCAAGTCCCTAAACCAAACACTGGGATCTATAAAGAAATGGCTGGAGGAGATCTTAAGATTAAGTCACTGACAAAAGAAAAGCATTAGCTAAACTGCATCTGTGTTTACCTTCCTATGAGGAACTGCAGACCTGATCTGTACAGTATACAAATGGCACTATACACTGAGTAAGCCTCAACTGAAACTCTGAACAGACACCAGTCTTTTGGTATGCGGCGCTGACACACAAGACCTGTGAGGGCAAGGCACTGACCTGAGGATGAGCACACAGACAGCCACCAGTGAGTAGGCCAACAGAGTCCCAATCGACATGAGATCCACCAGGGCAGCCAGCTCGAAGAGGAACGCCATGAGCGCTGTGGAGAGGGATTGGCATTGTAACACGGGCAGGGAAAGAGCAAGGCTTACAGACAGACAAAAGGATGGGAGATTCTGCTTGCTCCGTCAACAGGCAGCTTTCTTTTTTTTAAAAAGAAATCTTGAGAGAGGACTGAAAACACCTCAGGCAGAGTAAGAGAAACATTTGAGGATACATTCCGAAAGAGAATGTCATCTTGCACAGCGTGTTTTTTTAAGTGAAATTTGTAGAGCTGGATAAGAAATAAGAAACACAAAATGAATCATGGACACGTATAAATAAGATCCTTATTAAAAAAGAAAAGCATGATAGAACCAACAGCTAGGGGTTAAGGACTGAGGTCATACCTGCCACTATTCCAGATACAATTGTAGCCAGCAAGGGGGTCTTGGTCCTCTTGCTCATGCGGGACAGGACACGGAAGAGCAGACCATCCTCAGCCATGGCATAAATCACCCGCGGCATGGGGAACATGGAGCCAAGCAGACTGAGGGAAAGAGATAAACAGATATTGACCATCAGCTCTTCACGGCAGAAACAAAGAAACAGAGCTCAGTTCAGAAGACACCAATTCTGCAGCAACTGACCTTGTGGAGAGGGCACAAAGCGAGCCCACAGCCACGATGTAGCGAGCCGGACCCCAGCCCACGTAGCTGAAGGCCTCCGGCAGGGGGCTCTGGGTATTGAGCTTGAAGTAAGGCATCATCAGCGTGAGAGCGGCAGACACACCGAAGTAGGCAAAGAAGCAGATGAGCAAGGAGGCTACAATTCCAATCGGGATGGAGCGCTGGGGGCTCTTGGCTTCTTCACCTGGAGAAGAGAAGAGATGTTTAGATGTACTGCTCAAAACATGGCACCAATGTTCCTCAGCCCTGGGTCCTTCAGGACCATTTAAGCTTCTGGATTGTATTCTTCCTCACTTTGGGTGATGCAATTTGCTCAACTGTTAACATAGCTTGTCTAACCAAGCACTTTTTCCAAGTTGTAACCACTGAGGGTTTCAAGTACTGTAGCAGTGTGAAAGTCTGCCGTCAGGAGTGTGCGGTGCTCTCCGTACTTGTTGTGGCGATGCAGTCGAATCCCACGAAGGCGTAGAAGCAGGTGGCTGCGCCCGACAGGATCCCGGTGAACCCAAATGGAGCAAAACCCCCGGAGCCAAAACTTTTTTCTATTGCCCTGCAAAAATACACAAATAACATTAGCCCTAGTCTATAATTCTGCCATGGAACAGTAGCATGGGTTCTCTCTCCCTGTTGGTAAATGACATGCATCCTCCCAGTCTCCACTCCAGCTCTGACCAGAGACAAGCAGACAGGGAGGCCTAGGGCCTGCTTTCCACAGATCCATTCAGTTCTGCTCTAACTGAGCTATGGGTTAGTTTCAATGTGTAAGACAGAACAGTACAACACAGAGTATTAGAAAACTTTAATGCTCAAGATCCAGATATTCTGCACAAGGCTGAAACAGCCAGACACAGACTCAGATAGTCCCTTAGTCATTTAAGGCCAAATAAGAGCCCTTACCCCATCCCATAAATACCACAAGGACTCCTTACTCTGTGGTGTTCATGTTGGTGCTGTTCAGAAAGTCCTCCACAGTCAGGTTCCAGTTGTGGACGTTTCCCTTCACAAATCCCGAGATGATGACAAAGCCCAGCACCACCAGGTTGACGCCAGTAAAGATCTTGTTAACCAGCGCAGACTCACTCACGCCAAACGCCAGCAGGCCTGCCGTGAAGGAGAGGGAGAAGGGGTAAGCCGACAGCGCTTCACAGTGGGTGAAGCGTGAACCAACATGAAAGCACCCCTAGTGCGGGCGTGTGGGAACGCCAGAGTGGGCGCGCACCTGTGAGCAACAGCACAAGAACCAGGGCGAAGATGTCTGGGTATTCAGCGAGCACCCCCTCCACTTTGATGGACATCGAAGCCTTGAAGAAGCTGGAGATCTTCTGCTCCACCAGGTTGTCAAATGTGGAGCTCCAGGCTCGAGCCACACTTGCTGTACCTGAAGAAAGAGGAGTAGGGACTGGTCAGAGAGATATGCACATTACTTACAACCCTCTCAAATAAGAGCCCTTTACAGGATGACGCCTTTCTGGTCTTCTCTGGACTAGCCAGCAGTCCTCTTGGCCATTTCAGTTAACACTGCCCCAATTCTGCTTTGCTTGCATTCCTTGAACCCAGTCTGTATTACAATTGCAGTATTCATAGAAAACATCCTTCTCAAACCAACATGTAGAGTTCACAACTATGCCCTGAATGATCAAAAGGGAAGCGACTCAGGTTTAAATGAAATTATGCTTTGTTAGGTATTCAAACAGTTTATCATGTGTGACAAGTGTGTACGTACCTATGACATAGGATAGGATTAAGTTCCATCCTGTAATGAAGGCCCAGATCTCTCCCACCGTGACGTAGCTGTAGAGGTAGGCAGACCCGGTTTTGGGCACCCGGGCCCCAAACTCCGCGTAACAGAGCCCAGCCAAGACGGAGGAGAGGGCAGCGATCAGGAAGCAAAGAACGATGGCAGGCCCCGCCTTCTCCCTGGCTACTTCCCCCGCCAGCACGTACACGCCGGCGCCCAGAGTGCTGCCCACGCCCAGAGCGATGAGGTCCAGCGTGGACAGGCAGCGGGCGAAGCGCGTCTCCTCCTCAGAGCAGTCGAGCAGCCGGCGGCGGAGCAGCATCTTCCCGTAGCTTGCGAGGTTCTTACCGGTCATGGTTGCAGCCTTGTGAACACACACCTGAGGGCGGGGGAGAGGGAGAACAGTCCGGCTTGAGGGGGGGCCGCCTCTCAGAAGTCAGGATCATTTCATTCAACCAAAACAAACCCAAAATCTCCACCCACTGCGTAGCACTTTACAACTGAAATCCAAATGTTTGGTTTCATCTGATTACCCGAAGGCCCTACCTGTAAATATTTCAGCACTAGCACCAACAGTTGTACTTGTAAATGTATTTCCTTTAAGTTTCTAGGTGCAGTAACTCTTTCTTCTTTCCGGTATAATTTACCAGAACTATGTTATGTAACGTTCTAAAGTTGAGGAAGTTCCTGGAGAGTTGGCATAAATCCAGTCTGAAGAATGTTCTAGTCCAGGTCTTATGAAACGCTTTTTACAAGACCTGGAATGTCCTAAATGTAGTAACTCCCCGAAGTGGAAGAACGTCTCGTTAGAGAGGAAAATGGAAAAACCCTGAAGAAAACAATTGCTTCATGTTAACCTGATGACTTAGGTGTAACAGCCAGATAAATTAGCAACTTGGAAATTAAAGCATGAACACTCCCAAGTCAATTAGCTATTAACTCCCTGTAGAAATAGGAGCTTGATAAACAGATGTGAATACTTTTCTCACTATTTCACGATCAATTACAGGAACTGTCATTATACAACTCATTTAACGTATTTTTTATTCCTTTCCTTCACCAGGTATGCCAACAGAGAATGTTCTCATTTACAACAATACCCTAAAGACCCAGACACAGCAGGACATTCAGTAGAATAATCTGAGAGAAGCCCCCTGCCAGCATGCCAATTACCCCAAGGGTACGATAGAGCTTCCCTTCTGACCTGCATGTCAGAAAGAATAAGTGCTTGCCATGATAACCTAGTTGTCTAGTTCCATTCCTAAACAAACAAGAATTTGCTTTACATTATACAAATAGTGCATACTACAGTCAACAGTGATCCCCTCACCTATCTGCTGTCGTTCTATTACCTTAAAACTAACTTAACACAAATTCCTATATATAGATAATACACTTGTATATAAAGGAGCCCTTAATGCAGGTGCTCATTTCATTTGAGCTACACACCTTCAGTCATACCTGTGGGTCACACATACCCTATTTCAAGAGCACTGTTTCTGCACACAGAAATTTAGATACTCTCCTCAACTTGCTTATTGGCATCTCTCACTAAACGGCTCTTAGTAGATGTTCAACCAATGATGAACAGACACGGGGGAATGGCAGTATCAGACATGACAAAAAAGTGCTTCAGGTATACTGCATAGGAGCAGTTCTGAAACTCAGAAACTGGTACAGGCATGACACCAATTCTAAATCCCATCTGACCCTTTTGAGAGTTGAAAGCAAATTTGAAAATTTTGCCCCAGATAAAAAAAACTGAAATCAACTAGACAGTAACTGACAACTCAGCTGGAACAAAAACCACAAGACAGTTGTTTTCCTCCAGGACCTATTCTGGGAACCTCTGGTCTATATAAAAAGAAATGATGCAAGGTTTGAAGCTACTGGTATTTCATCTTTAGTTACACTATTGTGCGATATGAATCTTGAGACAAACGTGACTCCACCTCTGCTTCACATGGTAAAGTGAGTGGCTCTGCGCCGTCTAAAACCTGCGCATCTCCGTCAAGGAGAAGAAAGTGTAAGTTGCTTTACACAGTCCCTGCCTTTGAAGGTCTCTGAAAAAGGATGTAAACTTTGCCTTATCTTAATAGTTCTGTTTAAATGCTGAAAATTGAGCTGACAGATACTTATTTAAGGCAAAGACATTTGAAATACAAGAAAGCATATCATGAAATGCTGAAAAGCCAGAATAATGTACACTCTACAAAATAACGTCTCAGAGTATTGTATTTGTTGACATATCATTTTGAAATATTTCATGGGGGATAGGAGAACCAAAATATTGTCGAGAGCTAAATCAGTGACAGTGGAAAAGAAAGAGACAAAAGCATCAGTTACTGGTAAGATCCCCAAGCATTTGTTTTAGTGGAGTAGTATAAAAAAAAACCAACAGCCAAACTACCTTTCCAAAGGAGCATGCACTAAAACAAAGAAAAAACAGATATTACCAGATTTCAAGTTGTGTTCCCAGTCGCTACAGGTGTGGCAAGTTTTACAGCAGCTTGCTAAGTAGGTCTTTCTCTCTGGCAATATATTCTTCCTCTGCTCACATCCTTTATAAGCCTTACAGTTATACAGGCACTTCCTCAAACAGTTGTAAACACAAGGGGAGGAGTGATTGAACCTGAAGTGACACCAACCCAGATGTCTCAAAAGACAGGTGGATGCAATTCACCATTATATGGTTGCTGAAGTGTTTTTAAACATGCAGTAAAAAACCTTACATTTCAATCAAGACACCAACCACCAAGAGAACCAAGTAGTAAATGGCTTAAAACATGTTTAATTCAAGCAGAAAAATTAGTCTGACTCCATGCATTAAACTACAAGGCTTGTATGACATTTACCAAACCTGAATCTCAAAAGCAGCACTCAGGCCTGCTGCCTAACTGCTGTTCATCTGGATTTAAAGAATGGAGAAGGGTTAAACACCTCTGCTCTTTCTAACCAGGAACCACCTGTCATGCAAGGGACATCACTCTTCCTGATCGGTACAAGATCACATGGCGTGATGCATTTTCCCCCAAAAAAATTCTTCCTGGAAGGATTGAGTGAAGCAACACATTCCTCAGTAAGGCAATACTTCTGATTCCCACCAGTGCTCACTGTACTTCCTTATAACCAACAAAGCAATTATACAACTTAGACAAAACCAAACACCTGAGAGTCAGAGAGGCCTGTTATTGTGCCAAGTACATAAAGAGAACAGAACTCGGAGTGGCTTTGTGATGGTGAATGCAAGCCCTGACATAGTCAAATGCCAGCAGCCATATCACCCTGCAACTCACAACTGGCAACCCACTGAAGCTCAGCAGGTGTGAGCCTGGTTAGTACCTGGATGGGAGACCTCCTGGGGAAAACTAAGGCTGCTGCTGGAAAGAGGTGTTAGTGGGGCCAGCAGGGGGCGCTCACCCTGCGGTCCATGTGGGTCCTAATGCCCCAGTATAGTGCCGCGGACACTATACTGTAAACAAGTGCCGGCCTTAGGATGAGATGTAAAACCGAGGTCCTGACTCTCTGTGGTCATTAAAAATCCCAGGGCGTTTCTTGAAAAGAGTAGGGGTGTAACCCCGGTGCCCTAGCCAAATTTCCCATTGGCCCTTACCAATCATGGCCTCTTAATAATCCCCATCTATGAATTGGCTCCATTACTCTGCTCTCCTTCCCACTAAGCGTTCTGGCGCACTATGGCTGCCGTCTTTGGTGGTGGTGGAGGGGAGTCCCCATTACCTGTAAAGCGCTTTGAGTGGAGTGTCCAGTGGAGCGCTATATAAGTGCTATATAGGGGGGTGATGTACAGTCCATCCAAAATAAGCAACCACAGGCACAACAGTTTCTGTTTCTTCACAACAGAATGAGGAAACGGCAACAACTTTCTTTCCAGAGCTGCTACACTGAAACACTTGGCAGCTGTTGCAACATAAGCAAGAACACAATCATCTTACTCTAAACAGACCCAGTTCCCCCTCCAGGGTTAAAATGAGTTTGTGCAGGGGTGGATTCTGCCGTGTAGGTCTACCCACGCAGACATAAGATCACAACAGACGGGTAGTGTGGTATAACCGGTAAAACATGCAGAAAACTAGTTTACAATATCTTGCAGTTGCTTTGCATTTCAGAGCTTTCAGAGACACACCCAATTAATGTTGGATTAACCACAGTATTATAGTGGTCAACACCCAAACAATGTTTCAAAATCAAACTACAAATCCATACACAGTTCTCTGCTTTTATCTATGTACCCTGTCTAGGGGTTGATAATTTAGGTTTTCAAGATCATTCAGATCACACTCCCTGACCTGGACCTGTAACTATAAACAGTGAAGGGAGCTCTATTTCAGCACCAGTGTAGAGACTCCTATCAGGATACTTCCGATTTTGTACAGAATCCAAGAAGGCGGCCTTTCCCCTTTTCCAAGTAGGACATTTTTTCAACATGCGATGTTTTTTAAAAAAGGGAAGGAGGTTTAACGTGTTTCACTGTTAAAGCAGGAAGATGCCAAGTGGAAAATCCATAAATCCCTACTGGACTACAGCTCTACCTGAACTGTAACCATCACTTTTAATGACAGATCCAGGACACCTAGAGGCCCATTACACACTTCATTCACCCCAACCAAACTCTCCTTCTCATCCTCTCCACTTGCCCACACTGAGGTCCTGCAAACAAGTTCTCATTCTGTACACCACTGCCAGAGGGGAGACTGAACTCTCTGCCACAGACTTTGCTCTGTGGGGAACAAAAGCAGGAAGAAAAGGACAGCTTTGTTGTGGAAGAGTCATTTGAGCACACAGGCTGAAATGCCAAGGCCTTATGTGACAAATCCCGACTGCTGTTGCCCCAAGCCTACCTTCAATGCCCCCCTGGCCAAATGGAAGCAGAAGAAGAAAATGGTAGTCTAGAAGCTCAGTGCAGAAAGATAGAAGCACTCGAGAGAGCAAAAGGTCCCCCCCACTGTGTAAGAAAGAACGGTAGTTTGTTCCTTAACAGGAGGAATCCTTAACAAATGGATCCTTTCACAAAGTAACTGGATGAGGTACTTGAATTAATGAGCAACCCAGAAACCAAGATGGGACAAATGGTTTCTTTCTTCAAGTCTGCATCCTTTTAGATATTCCTGCATAACATCAACCAGAGTCACCTGAGATTTCAAGTGCTAAGGACAAACAGGTTAAGGGGTAGCATCCTTCAGGTTCCCATGGCAACAAGCCATACCACACAACTGCTGCTTTGCGTCTGGATTGCCAGGCATTATGAAATGCAATAAATGGATCATTTCTCTGCACAGGAGGGAAGCTGGACATGCCGTACCAATTAGAAACCCCTTGCTGTTTTTGAGCATTTCAAAAGGAAGCTGTGGCATCGGTACA